CCATTACATTATATTTTTCTGGGAATAGTGAAAAAAATTTCAAATGATCTGATGTGAATGCCAATGACAAACCAATCTATAGTTCTCTGAAATCCAACTTGGTAAAACAAATGAGTTTTATTTTTATTATTATTAATTTTCTTCCACAGCATAGGTGAGAGGTTACTTATAGGAGCATTTATATGCCCAAAATAACTGTCACCTTGTGATTGGCAGAAACTCACAGAAACTCCTTCATTGGCTTCAACTTTTCACCAGCCTTTTACTTCTATATATATTTCTGTCACCACCATAAATTACTCAGCTATTGACGTGGAATCTTACAAAGGGTCTCTTCATGGTTAAGCACTCCACTACAAACACTATATACCTGTTATCTATTGTACCATTCTGGTCCAGTTACCCTGCCTACACTATGGAAAAATTCAGATGGCAACTTATTATGAACAAATCCAAAAGCTCTAGACAACATCAACTTGTCCTAGGTATCTCAGTTTCTGGCATCCCTTTTCTCAAATCCTAGTTTCCTTCCTTATTTTCTTCTTAGAGTTATTAAATTATTTCTGGTGTCAAGCATGAGAATGAAAGTCTGCAGTGTCTGCTCTAGGGACTCACGGTCCAGTGTGTCCTGAGGACATAACCTGGGTTACATGGCAAGGGTCTGCCTGGACTGTGTGGTAACATCTTGTCTCAAAAAAAAAAGAAAAAGGAAAAAAGAAATCAAATATCAAACAAACACACATATTTCTATGAACCATCCTCAAAGTACCAACTACAATAAAAGCCTTACACTGAATTAAAACCAAATGCTACTATTGGTCTAAATAAACCCAGTGATAAATTTATTCCTAATGATATTCCGCTGAATTCATAGGTAAGTGCCTTGTTCAGCCATCAGAGAAGTTTGCTCATGTAACAGTTTGAAAAAATATGGAGACACACAGTCATATAATTCACAGAGAGTGATAGGCCTTGGAACATTCAGTCCAAAATAGGATGTCTCTATAAAATTCTTTACCTCAGACCTCAGGGAACCCCAGGGAAAAGAAATCAGAAAAAGTATAAGAGCCAAAGGTGATAGAGGAGTCTAATAAACAAGGCCCTCTAAATCAACATAAGCTCATTGTAAATGAACTCAGAGACTGAGGCAGCATAAACAGGGTCTGAATGGTTCTGTAGCAGATCCTCTGCATATATATTATATCTTTTAGTGCATTTAGTGCTTTTCATTTGATTCCTGAGTGTGCACAAGTGTAGATTTTTCACTGTTGTGCTATCTTTAAGCTTCTTTCCTTCTATTCGTTTTTCTTCTCCAATGTTGATGTGATGCTTTGATACTTTTGTTTCATTTTATTATATTTTGTTTTGATGTATTTTAAACATGAATTAATCAATGAAAGATTAGTCATTGAGCTAACAATTAAAAACTGAAGTTGTTATTTATATCTGCTATATTAATAACAACATAAATAACTGCATGTAAACATATACACATATAATTATGTGTGTATATATTATTAAACAGTTTATTTATATCTACTTGGGTAAGAAAAGTCAGTTTTATCCAATCGATTGACTATTGGCTTATCACACATTTTAGGGCAGCCCACATTCTCTTGAATAGTTGACCAAAATATAAAGTATTCCACAAATTTTGTGTGTAGTTGTTATGTTAAAACTGTAGTAGTGTTGTTTGTTCATTTGTTTCTTTTTAAGCTGAGTTTTATTTTCTTGGTTTTGGGATGTTTTTGCTATATTGGGTTTTTGTTTGTTTGTTGATGAACAACTTAATATTGGCTGGGTGGATAAGGACAGAAGATCTAGAGGAACTTGAGGAAGAAGAATATGATGAATATATTTGTATTTAAAGTTACTTTAAATGAAAATATATTACAAGCAAAAATATTAATACTTTTATCACTTCAAATACATTTTCTTAGTCACTCTGCCTCCCTGAAAAAGAATACGAGATTTTAAAGAATTTTTACTTTCCTCCTAATTTCACAAACATAAATGTTCTTTTACATTTAAAGGGGGATATGATAAAGATATGAATAATTTGCTTTGATATGGATTTAAGGTCAATTTTGTTCTATGTATTTCTGATCTTGATTAAGGTATTGCGATTGTGTAGTTCATGTAAAAATGTAATGTATAATTAGGAAATATAGGTTGCTAATGGATAATCATCAATAATACTCAAGCTTGTAGTCATGTTAGTTAGATTTTCTAGATATATAGAAATATATTTCAGTTAGATAGATATTCTTCATATCTTTCATAGACTACAGAATATGGCATTTTAAATGTTTTCATAACTTAGGACTTTTCATGACAGTGAGACACGTCTGCTCCTGGCAGCACCAAGCTATTTCAACAGGAAGATGGGCATTGAAAAGGCTACTTATGGAGTTGGTTAGCCATTTGGGCAAGAAACTGCTCTTGCCTGGACTGTTACATAAACTGGACACAAAGAACCTGCAGAGAGAGGACTGCTGAACTTGCATAAAGGAAAGATGGTCTTTCAGGGTTCCTGACTCATGAAAGGGTCTGCAAGACATTCTGCAGGACACAGCAGATAGTGACTGAACTGCCTTTGAAATTTCCTGCTTCATGAAAATGTCTGCTGGATACTATGGGCCAGTAGGCTGAAGATGAATGCCCCAAAGGTTCAGAGGAACTTTGGTTGACTGTCCAGGCAGCGAGATGTCTCTGTCATTTGTAGAGATTTGGAAGTTGCTTACTTCTTGTTTACTTAGGTAATATTATATCCTTCTGGAGTCTTTGATGGAGTTGAAGAATAAATAGATAATTATTGTTTTTCTTAGTTATGATAAAAGATAAAGTAAATATAAATATTGTAACTGTAATTCTTGCTTTATAACTGTTTTGTTATATGTAATTTTACTATGTTAAAGTGAAAGCCTTTCTTTTTGTTTAAACAGAAAAAGGGGAAATGATGGAGGAGGGTCACTGGTCTATGTTTTACTCTCATTGGTTAATTAATAGAGAAAACTGCTTGGCCTGATAGGTCAGAATATAGGTAGGCAGGGAAGACAGAACAGAATCCTGGGAGGAAGAAGGCAGTGAGGTAGTCACCATGACTCTCCTCTCCGAGACAGCCACAGGTTAGAATCCTCCTGGTAAGCCACCACCTCGTGGTGCTACACAGATTATTAGAAATGGGTTAATCAAGATGTGAGAGTGAGCCAATAAGAGGCTGAAACTAATGGGCCAAGCAGTGTTTAAAAGAATACAGTTTTCTATGTAATTATCTCAGATAAAGCTAGCCATGAGCCTTGTGATGGGAACACTGCTCGACACTCTCATCACTACAGTACTGAAAGAACTACTGAAGCTAGCAGATAATTTAGTATAGTTGCCAATTACAAGATTAATATAAAAAGGTGTCTTAGCTACAATTCTGTTGCCGTGAAGAGACACTATGGAAAAGGCAACAACTATTATAAGAGAAAGCCTTTAATTGAGTACTTCCATCTTGGTGGGGATATGATAAGATTCAGGTATGTGCAAAATTTTAAGGGAGACCTGCATCCTGATCCATAGTCAGAGAGAAGGAGAAGGAGAGAGAGACAGAGAGAGAGAGAGAGAGAGAGAGAGAGAGAGAGAGAGAGAGAGAAAGTGAGACCTAATTTGGCATGGGTTATTAAAACCTCTCAAAGTCTACTCCCAGTGACATATTTCCTCATAAATTGCTGCACCTCCTAATCCTCTTGGTTGT